TCTGATGTTTCAGGACGTTTTCCCGTAATTTGGTGAAAGGCCACTGTGTACCAAGAAAAGAATATGATTAGAAAGAATCATAAAATCCTGATTACAAACCTAGAAATATATTTTATTTGTTAAAGTACCAGTAACTAAGGGTCACTTTTACTGACTTCTAGGACCATGTTTAAACAAGACTTTGACATGTTACGATGGAGTAGAACTCTGTTGTTGTTCTTTCTGGTGTTTTTTTTTTTTAATTCCAGGGTAGCTGTTTTATGATTGGAAGCCCCACTCTATTGGAAATTAGACCTGAGCATCATTTCCTTTTCTAAGGCACTGGGGATATTTGGCAGTGATAGAGCTGCATTAGATAGCGCCCACTATGGTGTTGAGCTTTCTTCATCCCACCCTTAAAAAAAAGGCTTTGTTTAATGTTTCTGCTAAGAGGTTGGACAGACATTTCTTGGGAATTATTGTTATCTCTTTGGTTATTGAAGTGGTGAGAATAAAGTTGATGCTTATGTTTGTTCACTTCCTTCCTTACAGTTAAGAGGAAACAAACTGCTTTCATTGGTCAGTACTATTTTGTGCATTCGTTTTGCCGGTTGTGTTAAGAGATATCAAAATGTTTCACTCGATTAATTTTCTTGAACACTACTATTTGCAAAATATTGACTTGGGAAATAGCCCCCTAAAAAAGGAATCAGACATGAATACTGCCCTCAAGTAGCTCACACGAATAGAGAGAGTTCCTGGATTAAAAGGGCTTCACACCTTGGGGAAGGTTAAACTTTCATGCATGAGCAATTCTGTGACCACCTAAGGCTAAAAATGTGATACAGAGAGTCATCGCTAGAGAGTTGAAAGGAGAGAGAGAGTACAGGGTAGGGGAAGACAAGGATGAGGCACTTTAGGAGGTAGCATTGAGGATGGAGCCTGAGAAGGTGGGAAGGATTGCTGTTGGGGTGACAAGCACAGGCAAAAGCACACATGTGGAAATGTTAGGCGTGGAGGGGATCAGTCACAGAAATCTGACCAAATGAAGGAAAAGAGGTGCAAAGGGAGACAGGAAAAGAGAGTAAAGGACTAGCCTGGAAATCTGGGTGTGTCAACCCAATGAATTTGGGCTTAACTCCGCAGGTACTTACTTGTAAATTTCCCAAATGATGACAAGCTCAGTGAGTGGGGCTTTTCAGGGAGCCAAGAGGCTGGCAAAATGTTGACAGTTCTCTGGGACGAGGATTTTTGAGGCTGTCCAGTCATGATATACCTCCTCCAGTGGCTGGTGGGCTGCCGGTTTTCAAAGCTACTAGGGAGCTAGTGAGGAGCGATTAGAATAAGGAAAATTGAAATGCCAGGAAGCTCGCTGTTCTTACCGAGACCCAGCCATTTTTCTGAGGAGAACAAGATCTTTGGGTTATCACAAACCTTTGGTTATTTCTGGAGTTCAGAAAAAGTTTGTCTTGACAATATTTGCTTTTTGGAAGGAGCATAGTTTCAGTGATCTTTACTCAACCAATCCAAAAGTTGTGCTCCTATTACATTTTTTATATAGCTGGTATACTTTTCCTAATATTTCTAATACATTTTTTTCATTTTATTTTTGTTTCTTTTCTTTCATAAATTCTTGTTCATTTTCATGAATGTCATTCCTTCAATTTCTCTTTGATGACCATACATAATACATTTTTTTCCAGTTCATTCTATAGCATTGATTTCATCTGGAGTAAATATGTATTTGACTTTTTATTTTTTTAGTTGTCTTTCTGAGTATTAGATTTCCTATAGATTTTGAAATTTTGGTTTGCAAGCTCATTTTTAGAGAAAACATTTTTTTCTCTTGTGTTTTTTTCTTTTTGTGTATTTCTCTCTTTCTCTCTCCACTCAGCTGATATTCTCTGTTGATTTGTTTTATTGCTGCTTTTTGTATACCTTTTCAAGGCCTTTAGTCCAGAATGGTGCATGGACTGTACAATAGTGGACATGTATCTGTCATAATCGGTGAATTAGCTTGTGGGTTAATGCAGCGACCAGTTACATTACGATTTTTCTAAGGTTTTCACCTTCCTGACATTTAACCTCAGGACTTGAATGCCAAAGCCGAATTGCCTGCTTATAGACCTGTTGCTAAGCAGGCCTGTGACTTTAGCTTCACTAGCACTCTGTGTTTCTTTTTCCATTCTATTTTTGGTCCTCTGAGATGTTTATTTTATTTTTAAGCCTGGCCAAACATTTTTTAGTTTCTTTAAAAATATTTTATCTATTATTGGTGTGAATTTGAAAGACATAGTTTGCTTCAAAGTCTAAACTTTTCCATCTTAACTAGAAATCAACTCTTATTTTCCAAACCTTCTAAGATTTGTTAATTTTTCATAACACAAAAGTAGTTTCTTAGCAACAAAGATGTGGGCAGCTGCTGTAATTTCTTTTTGTATCTGGGTACTATATTATCTTCTTTTTTTGTGGCATAAATTTTGAAGATAACTTCTTATTAGTTAGGTTACAAATTCATCTTCATTGTAGACTTGTTTCTCAAAAAATTTTCAACTTCAAGAAGTGATGTTATCATTTCTATAAAACATGGTGTATATTAATCATCAAAATTTCTCAGTGATAGTGTTCAATACATAGACATATTTTTTTTTTAGCATCTATGCTATCTTCACTTGAAAAACTTCAATTGCCATAAATCTTTTGATGTGGTACTTTCTCTTGAGTGTAGAAACACACTTTAGAATTTCTTCTCTTTTGTCCTTGCATAAATGATACTCATAATACTTCAACTGTGACTTACAGTTTTTATTTATTTCATGTATGGAAAGCATTTGGAAATTAGCAGTGTAACTAGAGGAGCAAAATCTTTGTATATTTTTATGATGATTCTCCAATGTGTTATAGGCTCATTGCCGATACTTAATTAGCCAGCAGCTTTTATTTAGAGTTACTCATCACTTTAGTCCACTTTCAAATTACTAGACTTTATTTTTTCTAGGAACTAAATTTTACAGACAGAGTTCCTCAATTTTTATCTTATTAAAATATGTCTTTAAAGTGATAAGCACAACTGGGAAAAGAAGATTAAGAACAAAAGAAGTGAAATTACTAGAAAGTAAAGACCTCAGATGCCGTGAATAGAGTGCGGAAAGTAGAAAGTAGTTTAAAGAGAAAGAGTCAGATTGGACAATTTCTAAATTCTTTATTCTCTAACATAACTAAATATCTAAAATATTATAGAACTTACTGTCTATATGTTTTCTTGCTTAGCATTTAAATATGTGTATTAAATATTATTATATAAAAAGTCACAAATGTGAGACGCTAAGGGTAATTTTTAACATCAGTTTTACCCAATGTATTTTATGACTATGGTGGGTTGGGCAGATCAAATCCTTTTATAATAAACTCAGTGGGGGATCTAATATGTTTTGAGAGAGAAATTATTAGAATGTGGTAGAAAGTGCATTTCCACCTTCAAAAGCATCGAGTAATTGTCTGTCTGAATCAGGTAGACAAGGAAGAAAAAAGCACAAACTGTGAATAGAGTCAGATGAAAGCAAAAGAAAATAAATCAATAGACTTTTTAAAAATAAAAGCATTAGACTTGTGCCTTCATACCTGTTACATTTTTTTTCTCTAAATTTTTGGAACTTTTTGTTTTTCCTTTATATATGTATATTGAGTTGTTTTGAGTTTTAATTTCATGTCGTTGACTGTAATTTTACTTTTCATTTATTCTGGGTTCTTGAGGATAGTAAAAGGATAATTTCTGTCTGCTGGCCATCTGGGATTCTACTCGCAGACTTTCTGACTCAGTAGCTTTTCCCAAAGTCTGTGTACTCAAGACAAAGAATTCAGGGCTGTGTGCCTCTTCCTACTCCCCACCTGCTGTTTATAGCATTCACATGTAGATGTATCAGCATTATTTCACCCCTAGATTCTCAAAAGTTCAGAGGTTGCAATGGATTGTCTTTTAGTGTTACCCTCTTGCTGTCCTGATTGCAAACAATACCTCCTCTCTTTCCTCACCCTGGAACTTCAGAAAGTTGGAGTAAAAGTAGTGTTATATTGGGCAAAATACCAGCACTTTCTCTATGTATGCAAAGTCTGGAAAGCACGTGATGGGGAATGATCTGCCAGGCAATCAGATCACATTCTATGAACATGATGTGAACCAGTGACTTAAAATTTATATTTAGCCCTCACACTTTTGCAGTAGCATAGATTGAATGAACCACTTTTTCATGTGATGGCTTGTTCTAGATTTTTTTATTGCAACCAGATTCTTGAATGTTTACAAAATACTTTTGTTAGAATGATGTTTTAGATATATGTTATCATTCTAAAATTCATATAATTATACTTATGTTTTGCACAACATTATTCAGTCATGATGTAGAGTATGTTCATGGAAAAGAAGCCAAACTCTGTAAAATAATTTTAAAGAGGTTTATTCTGAGCCACATTTGAGGAGCATGACCCGGAGCCACATCCAAGAAGCCTTGAGCAAGTGGACTTGCTACGGTTGGCTTACGGTTTGGTTTTGTACATTTCAGGGAGATGGGGTTACAGGTAAAGCCATAAATCAATACGTGGAAGGTATGCATTGGTTTAGCCCAAAAAGGTGGGCCATCTTGAAGGGGGGGACTTACAGGTTATAGGTGAGTTTAAAGACTCTTTGATGCTTAATTGATTAAAGACATGAAGCTTTTGTTTAAAGGCTTCAAATGTTATGATAAGTAAGCCTGTAAATCAAAGACAAGCCACTGAATATATATTTGTTGTATAAATTGAGGACCTGCAGGTTTGTTCTGCATAGCCTTAGGCCTGTTAATAAGTTGTAGAGGATATCTCCAAGAAGGCAGGGGAGCATGATGAGGCATGCCTGACCTCCCTCCTCATGGCAGGCAATTTAGTTTTAAGATATCCCCTTGGCCAAGAGAGGGTCCATTCAGTAAGGCAGTGGGGGTGGGGAGCTGTAAGATTTTATTTTAGTTCACACATACTACGTATAGTAGAATTTTTGTTTGAGAAGTATATCATATATAAATAAGGTTAAGATTTACTATGGCTTTTGCTAAACATTACCAAATATTGTGTCTACCCAATCTATAATATGTAAAAACTTAGGAATTACATTGTAGGCATTTATTGTCCTTTTTCTACATTACTTATGTCCAAAATAATGGTAATTACGTTTTCAAGTTTCTTTTGAAAATATGTTCCCTAAAATTTCAAACAGTGATGACAGGCTAGAATAATACTTAATCATTTTAGCACATTAAAACATAGAAATGGGTTTATACTTATGATCTAATACAGCAGTCCCCAACCTTTACGTCACGGGGGGCTGGTTTCATGGGGGACAATTTTTCCATGGAGGGAGGGTGGCGGGGGGAGCGGAGATGGTTTCTGGATGATTCAAGGGCATTACATTATTGTGCACTTTATTTATATTATTATTACCTTGTAGTATATAATTAAATAATTATATAGTTCACCATAATGCAGAATCCAATGCCACCGCTGATCTGACGGGAGGCGGAGCTCAGGCAGGGGTGCTAGCGATGGGGAGCGGCTGTGAATACAGATGAAGCTTCACTAGCTCCCCAGCCACTGCTCACCTGCTGCTGTGCAGCCCAGTTCCTCACAGGCCACCCTGGATGGTGGTGGGTTTGTTGGGGACCACAGTCCTAATATTAGACTTGTTTTCAAATGGAAACCAACTTTGTCGTTATGTTAAATAAATTTGGAATAATATTTATGATTTTAAAATAATGTAAAATGTCCAGGTTGCTCCTGAGATAAGGTGACTATATTTAGAAACAGGAATTTAGGATTTTTTTGTTTATGCAATGCAATGGGCCTATTGTGGCTATGTGTATCACACAAAAAAAGAAGAGAATGTGTCATAGTGCTTGAATCATTGCTACGATTTTGGTTGGCCCAGTGATTGGGGAGGTCTAGATGCCGTGGCTGGGGAAGATTATAGCTTTGGGGAGGTGAAAGTGCATAGGAGGGTGGAACCTTGCCAATCAGCCTGCTTGATTAGCCAGTAATCCAGGAGAAACCAGAGCTCTAGATTGTGAATAGCTGACTCCCTTGTTTAAATACCCTTCAAAGGCAATAACTACTAGTAGGATACATTTGAAATTTCATAGCATCGATAAGGATTTATATAATCTGGCGCCTATCTCTTTGTCCAGCTCATTCTCTACATTCCCGTGTTCTATCCTCCATCCATCCTGAAATTTTCACAGTTAGTGCAATATACATACCTTCTCACCCTTCCTCCAGTCATCACCGTGGGCGTCTCTCATGCTCTTTTCTCTGTCTGGAATACTTTGCCTCCCACTTTTCTTTAGTTCATTTCTCCTTAATCTTTCGAGTCTCAGTTTGTTTTCAGTTCTGTTTAAACTTCTTTTATCCTCAAGGCTAAATGTAGGGTGCCTGTTGCGCACCTTCTCAGTTTTCTATATTTTCCCTTACACGCCTCTCATCAAGCTGTGCAGTAATTGCTTAGAACTTGCCTTTCTTCCATTCCCAGAGTGCAGGATGAGCTGCATCCATGCAGGTACTGGGTGGGCCTTGTTCCTTACTGTGTGGAAGCCACCCACCCCACGCTCCACCTAGCAGGTACTCTGCACGGACCGCTTGAATGAATGCTGAATGAATGAATGAATGAATGAATGAATGAATGAAAACCAGGGATGGACCCAAAGGGTGGAGCTGGGAATGGAGAACATGAAGTAGAAAGTAGCATCTGCCTTAGTGCTGAACGTTTTAAGACTTTTAATACACTGAATACACAATGTTTTTGAAAAGAGTTATGGTTATCTAGATTCCAGAAGAGTTCTGGTTGAAGTGAGCGCTCAACAGCATAGAATACTCCACTTTTTGTCTGTTTGTAAGTTTGTTAAAATGTTAGTTAATTTAAGAGATCAAAACCAGTATAGCATTAATATATAAAATTTTATACGTGTTTCCTTTTATTGAGACAAATAGTTCAAAATCTATTTCCCTTGGGAATATTTTTTTTATCTCCTTTATTGAGATATGGGTATTTTACTAATTAATTTCTGTGAGTTCTTTATATGCCTAAAATATTAGCTTCTGATTATTGATCTTGTAAATCTTATTCTGACGCTCTTAACTTCTTTAATCTGATTAATGCACTTTCTTTTGGAGATACATGTTAAAAACATTTAGCTGGCCATATCTCTTATTGACATTTTCTTTGGCAATTTTGATTATTTTTTTTAAAAGAGCTTTTTGTTTATTAGGGTAAAATATAGGTTTTTGTAGAAATTTTAAAAATAGATATAAGCAAAAGGAGATATTAAGAAACCTGCAATTTTATAGAAAATGGATTATACTTTTAAAGGTCTAGATATTTCCCATCAATAATATATGTAAATTTCTTGCCATGACATTATATATTTTACACAGACTTCTTTTTAATAACAGCATAGTATTTCATTGTGTGCATATATAATATATATTTAGCTAAATCTATGTTATGGAATATTTAAGTTATTTTTACCTTATTGATATAGCAAATTGTACAGTGAACTTTTCATATGACTTTGTGCATCTTTTAAATTATACCTTTAGGATAAATTATTTTTAAAAAAATTTTTGGATTGAAGGACATATAGTATTTTAAAATTATTAGCATACCTCGCCAAATTGCCTTTCATAAAATAAATACCGACATACACTCATCCTGCAGTATATGAGAGTGCTCATTTTCTCTCTCTGTTATCAAAACTGAATATTTTAATTTTTAATGCTCTTTGCAAACTCAGGTTCTATCTGTGTGCTAATAGTCTGAACATCAGTCCTTCTCAATTCTTTAAAAATAATGAGTATGCTATTTTAAAAATAATACATATCTGAATTAAGAAGAAACTTAAGGAAATTCTTAGAGGTAAAAAAACAAACTGGGAGCACAATTCCAGATAGGTTACAGAAAGCTGAAAGAGCTAATCCCTGGGTACTTCTGGCTTTAGTTTTAACCACTACACAGGTGATGAGGGAGAATATCTGGGTCCAAGGCAGTGATGGGAGGGTGGATGGGAGGTCACTGCATAAATCCATTACCCCCTAAGAGCTGCATGTTCACTGAAAAAGTGAACCAAGCGAGGGATATGTTCCACAAACGCAGATAATAAAAATATTTGCCTTTGTTGCTCTTAGCCTTAGATATTGGGAAAAATAGTTTTGCCTGACAATCAATAACGTGTAATCCAGGTGTCAAAATTCACACTGCTTTCAAGGAATGAAAAACTATTAAGCTGAAAATTTTGGTTTAAAGAGGGTCCTGTTTATAGTACCTCTCAGTACCTGGCAGTCACAAACCAAACTCTAATCTGGAAGAATACTCCTCCACCCGTGTCTCAAAGGGTTCTCACTGCATTTCTCTCTCTCTCTCTCTCTCTCTCTCTCTCTCTCTCACACACACACACACACACAAATTTTAAAATATCCAAGGAAACAGGAAAGCATCAGCAATATCAAAAAGCAGAGTCATACCCACAAAGATTTTAAAAATTAAAATTATATATACAGAATATAAATAAGCATGTTTAAGAAATTTAAAATAATGGTTTTAAAGTATGAATTAAAAAAATAACATTATAAAATGACCAATCTGTTTTGTTTTTAAAAGGACCAAATAGAATTTCTGAAAATGTAACATGTAAAAAATCAAAATTAGAAACTCAATGGATAAATTAAGCAGCATATCAGAGACAGGTGAGCATAAACTTGGCAAACTAAAAGAAAAATTCTGAAGAGATTGCCCGGTATGAAGCACAAAGCGACAAAGAGAAAAAGTATGGAAGGAGAGAGAGCCTTTAACAAATACCTAATCTGAGTTCCATAAGGGAATAATGGGAAGGAGAGAGAAAATATTCAAAAAGACAAGTCTGACGACTTCACACAATTAATGAAAGATATTAATAGGAACTCTTAGATACAATGTAGGATTGGGGGAAACCATCCACACTTAGAAGAATCACAGTGAATGTGTGGAATATTAAAGACAAAAGGATCTAAGAAAACAGCAGAGAGTAAAGACAGATGGTGTGACAGACCAGCAGCTGACATCTCCACTGCATTAGACAGAAAGCCACAGGATTCCAGAATAAAACCTTCAACAATGCTGGAAGAAAATAAGTCCTGCTAAAATCGTATGCTCAACAAAACTATCTTTCAGGAGAAGCGTTATTCCCTAGAGAGGATAAACAAAGTTGATTCTGTAAAAAGAATATCAAAACTGACAAACTTCTAGCAAGAGGCAACAAAAATAATAAAGAAATAAAAAGGGGTCTATGGTTATATATGCTACAGAGTTAAACAATAAATCAAATAATATAAACATCTATTAAAAGAATTAAACATGGTCTAAATAAGTGGGTGATATGATCTGGAACTTGGCAAACTTCTTCTCAAATTAACATGAAAGAGTGAAAGACCAAATTTGAAGAATCTACCTAAGAAGACGTTGTCTTTTTCTGGCACTATTATACAATGTAATATTATGTAGTGTTAGATAAATTGATTGATGCCCCAGGTAATAGAGATCAGTGGGAAAAGGACGAGTTCACATATGATGGTGGAGCAGTTGGATATCAAAATAAATAAACATGAAAATTGTTCTGAATTGCAAAACAAACAAAAAAAAGGAAAAATAAAACTATGAAAGATTTTAAAAGTTGTATAAAACTTTAAATTTTGAAAAAAAATTTTAAGTTCCTCCAAATAGCAAAAGTTTTCCTTTTTTAAAAAGAGGACAAAAAGTATAATCTTTATAGAAAATGTTTCCTAAATTTGAGAGTGTTAAAATAGGGACTTAATGTTCATGAGAAAACACTATTACAAATAGTGACAACACAAGCCACAAACAGGGAGAAAGTATTTGGAACAAATAAACAGTGAAAGGTTACCTCTCAAATAAATTTATAACTCAAAAAAATTAATAAAAAAAAGACAAATAGAAAGTTTATAAAAGTCACAGTCAATGTTTTATA